TGCTCTGCTTCTTCGTTAGGGGGATGTAAGAGTGGGTCTCTCTGAGCCACGCTTACCTGGCGTGGGACTGTCAGGCTGCCCCCATGCAGCTCATCATAGATGCTCCTTTTGATGCTAGTGGGTTTCTTTCTCTTAATTATCTCCTTTTTCTAACCTCTTGTTCTAGGCCGAAGTGAATATATTTTGTAATCGCTCAGTCCCTGCCTGTAACAGTTTTTTCTTTAATACTTGTTCAAACAAATTCAGATAAAGGTGTCTTATTTGTATGCAACAGGAAATGCCAGCCTCCTTTCCAGATATCCCTGCAAATACTCCACACTGATTTCCTCAGCGCTGAATAGAAATGCTAGGTCAAACAAACATAAATGTTCTCTGGTTTCTTTAAAGGATCTGATTAAATGCTCTGTGGTACAGGTGTGAGTCCACTCTTGCCTTATGCAGGGGAAGAGACTAATTCACCAGATCCTAACATGGTCCCCCAAAGCCTTCATTAATGCATTCTCACCAAAGGCTCATATTGGGCACAGTCAACAGTGCTGCTGCAGCTCAAATTGGCATGTGATGGACTTGTCCCATTGAACAGGTCCAGGTCTTTCCAATGTCTGGTCCTTGGGGCTAGGGGTCACCTTTCTCACCTCTGAGGAGCTGCAGGCGTGAACCTGTGTATCTTCTCATTGCAAAGAGCTACTTCCACATTTATCTCAGCTCTTATTCTATCCTGCTTGGAAGATGATGGCATTAGAAACACTTCTGAAGTAGGCTCTCTAGATGCTTCTGCTTCCAGCCTACCTCCTTCATCCGGAGCAATCAGCCATCCAGCTTATGATTAAGTCACTGGTGGCCAAGTGTGTGACTCCAAGTGCAGAGAACAAGATTTATGTGCTAGAGAGTTTATCAGTCAACAGTCACTTTAGGAATGTATTTCCTCAGTCACGAATTGCCTGAAGAAATGGAGAATGGCTAGTCTGTATGGATAGGTTTCAGTTTGCTGGGGTGACTGTGCGTCTGGAGATTTGAATACAGAGTTGATCCCTGGAAGACTTTGTGAACTTAGAGTCCACCCTGAGATGCTGATATGTGTAATAGGATAGCATATCCCCTTGATGGGAGACACCATCGTGTGGCATTTCAGCTGCAGAAAGGCACGGTTTCATTGAAGAGTGTGCTTTTGAAAACAGCATGCATGTGCCTCACAATTGTAGCCATTGGAAAGCGGTTGGGTTGCCTCCCTCTGTCATTAGTGCCTCCTACCTAATTGCTTTTGCAGAGGAAGAGTGTGCTGCACTGTGAAGAAACTTTCAAATGGAGGGAAGTTGTCTCCTCCTCCCAGCCATGTACAGGAGGTCTCTGGGTCTCAAAATCACCCCAGGCCCCAGAGTGACGGCAGTAGTTTTGGCATGTCACCCGTCAGTCCTCATCGGGCACATCCCCAGCACACAGCCACGTGGACTCTTTCCTGTTGGTGTGCAAGGTTGTGTCAAAAGTGCAAATGCAGGTGTCCACCCTGATGTTTTAGCAGCAATTAACCTTTCCTCCTGGGCTTCCTTTGAAGCTTGCTCATGTTTTTATTGTAAAATAGCGGTGAAGAATTTTATGGAGGCTAATATCTAAGCTTCTGCGTTACCTAATCTCATCTGTTCCCTTATCAGGGGCCTCTCTTTTGTTTCATCCCATTTCTAGTGGGCATAATTACTGGACTTTAAAGAAGCCATCTTGAATTTCAAAACTGCAGTGTTATCTGTGTAAATGATTTGCAGTTTGCTGGGAAAACGATGCTTACCAGCACAGCCTGGGTCCGATTCTAATCTCACAAAGATTGTCTAACAGTCAGTATCCCGTGGTTTTGGTGGAAGTATCTCTGATCCATGAGGGTGTAAATTTTAAGGGGAATAGTCCCACACCCTTTGAAAATGAAGACCAGATCCTGGTTCATGGACATTGATTTTAATATAGCTCTATCATTAATTTCACAAATATGTCTTAATGGCCTTCCTGTCTCTCGGTCAGTTGTAATTCAACTTCTTGTTTATTTTGAGGTTTTAAAATGTATTTTTGTTAGAATACATTGCTATTTCAGGCAAAATAGTATTTCAGTAATCTGTTTTACCCACACTGCTAGGGCTTTGGGGCACATAGGCAAATTATATTTTCCAGAGCTTTCAAACTGAAGGCCCGTGTTTAACGACGACATCGGGTGTGGCTGCTGGAAATCAAAGGAGACACAATAGACCCAGCAAACGGACTTGTCTCCCTGCCAGGCTTCCAGAGGCCAATTTATCAGCTGCAGGTTTGACCCTATATGGCTAAAACCAAGTGTAGCCAGCATGACTGAGATAAGTATAACTGAGGCCTTTGAGTCTGCGAGAGAGAAATTAAACCGGACTGTCCCTGGGGGAGAAGAAACATCTGCAAAGCTACATGTTTAAGGCTCGGCTTGTTCTGGCTTGGGGGCAGGCGTCACTGGCGAGTGGGGCTGAGGAGGGTGGCTCTCTGGGGAAAGGCACAGCACAGGTCGCTGCTTGCTGTGACTTACGTGATGGGGCTGAGCTGCCGTGTTGTTCAGCGTGGCTGTGGGGCACAGGGAGAGCCTTGGTATTATGGGGCGCTGCTTGGTGGGATGGGGATAACAGCAGTGAGCGCATGAAATGGGCTTTTTAAGGAGCTTGAGTGTCAGGCACCCAGCTGTCATGGAAAATCAGTAGGATTTGGATGCCTGGAGTTTTTAAAGCCCCCCCTTCCAGTGAGCCATGTGCTTATCATCATCCAGATCATTTTCCTTGTGCGATTTCTCTTCCTGCCCCCCATGTGTATACATGGGTTAGCTTTTTTCCCCCCTGTTTCAAAAACAGCTGAAGTCTTTTAGGCAGGACTGCAATCTAAACAGTTGGAGGAAGACATCTGAACAGGGAACAAGCCTGCCGTGGGTGGACAGAGTGTCGCTGTTGGCCTGTGAAGGCAGGGAGCGCATTGGAGTTTCGGGGATGCTCAGGAGGTGTGGACCAATCTCTCTTGCCTGTCCCACTGAATTGGGGCAGAGCCATGTTTTGGGGACAGCAGCAATGCCATGGGTAACAGATGGCTGCTAACATGGTCGTTCCAGTGCAGAGTGAAATGAATAGTGATATGCAGGTGGAGCTGTATCCCTACCCTTTTCATGTTGTCTTTCCTGTTCCCTGGAGTCCAGGGTGAGTTTTGCTGTGGCTCACCCCTGGGCAGGAAAGTTAGAGGCAAGGGCTTGTTGGTGCTAGGCACAGAGCAAGCTCTCTGCACCAGTGCTTTCATGAGCCCTTGAGCATCTTTGCCAAACTTGGCACTGCTAAGCTATGTCAGGCAGGATTTCTGAAGCACAAGTGATGGGAAATCCCTCTGTGTGTCCTTCTTAGGTAAATGGTAGAGTCAGTCAAGATTTTCTACTTCTCAGAGTGCCATGTATTAGAAAAGTGACAAACTAATCAATATTGGGTTCAATCGTGAAAGTGCAGGGAGAGTCTGCCAAACCAGAGGCCGAGGGAATGGGTAGCTGAACTTTCTTGTGACATGTATGAGGTCATAGCCAGTGCCACATAAAAGAAAGAAAAACAGTTCGTGGCTGTGAATAAATTGCTCACAGATGAAGAATCTAGTTTGCCAGTCATGTGATGGGAGCAATCTATTCAAATGATTTGTTATGTCCCTGTGTTTGTCTTCGGCAGTACCAGAAGCATGAAAGTACAGATATAAAACTGTGAGATAATATGTAACAAAGATGTGAGAGATAATGGGCTATGACCAGTTTCCACTGGAAAATGCATACGGTGCTAATCTACCATGGATAGTTTCTTAAATGAGCAAGAAATTGAAAGAACATTTTAAAGTTTCCTGTTTCTTCACTGAAACGGAGTCATTCTGAATGCCAAGCCCAGCGTAACAGTTTTAATTTCTGGGTCAACCATATTATGCAAATATCCCTGTTCTCGGATTCTAAATACCCAATCTTTCAACTTCATTCCTTGGAGAATAGTATTCTCGCCTATTATTTGGGTTAGAATTAAGTAAAATGAGTTCTGGTGTGTAGGAAAAGTACAGTAACATTAATAACACTTAATCAATGTAAATAAGATGATTTTTGGTTTGTTTGTCTTTTTGCTCCTTTCACTTGTGTTACTGGGTTGAGTACTCTATTGCTGGTGCAGCTAAAGCCCCTGCTGAAGTCACTCAGTTTTTTGACTAAAAGGCATTTACAATCAGCCTTACATTTTGAGCTGTCAAAAATAGTGAGTTTTTCTTCTTTCTTTTTTTTCTTTTTGTTTGCTGGCTAAACCCCAGAGATGAAGTGGGGTTTTTTTAATGTATTTTGGATCTGCCCCAGGTTGGTTTTTTTTTTTTTTGGAAATGTAAGAGGAGAAGGTTCATGTTCTCTATAAGGTGCTGTTTGGATCCTGAACTTATTTTAGACCCTTGTGTTTCTTGGAGGTCAATGGTAAGACACTGATTTACATCAGCTGAAGCTCTTGCCAAGAGTTGTGTGGTAGGCTGGTTCCTTTCCTCCAAAGACTAATTGGAGGCCATCAAACTTAATTTTGGCTACTTTAGGTTTAATCTGTCTCTCTGAAAGACCAGTAAAGCTTTCTTGCTTTTCACTTAACTTAGATTTCAGTTGTAACATATAATGCCGGCCTTCAATTGTAATTTCAAAGCGTATGCAGTGCAAAGCGCTATATCCGGATAATAGGGTGTGCCTGCATATACATCTGTATGCAATTCCCTTGCTTGTGTTCAATGATGTAAACCACTTTTGATGTCAGGAATATTGAGAAAAACACTGTCTACCCCCAGGCCTACTATAGGAAAAAGGCTCAGCTCCTTCCAGGGTGAGGCACTGCTGCGGGACTAGTGATTGATGAAGGTGCCACCCGTCTACCAAACTGTCCTCTCTGTTTTCATGTGCAGGCTGAAAGGGTTTTTCATGTGCAAAACCTGTCAGGATGTTTCAAATCCTACTGTGTGGCTTTATTTTCCAGGTGATGAATGTTTGTACGAAAGCTTTCCTGAACTTCCTTTGGAGGAAGCGCCAGAAGCTGATGGAGAGACTGCAAACGTTCAGTGTCCAATATCCGCCAACGTTCAAGAGCTGCCTTCCCCAGCAACCTCCAGTGAAGCTTTCACACCAAAGGAGAGTTCTCCTTACAAGGCTCCAATCTACATTCCCGACGATATTCCTATTCCTTCAGAGTTTGAGCTCCGTGAATCCAGCGTTCCTGGAGCAGGATTAGGGATATGGACCAAAAGGAAGATTGAAGCGGGGGAAAAGTTTGGCCCTTTTGTAGGAGAGCAGCGGCCACACCTTAAAGATCCCGGTTACGGTTGGGAGGTAAGACACTTTACATTCTTGCGGTCTGTTGAACTCTCTTGCGTGTCTATAAACACAGAAATATTTGCAGAATTTGATTCCTATCCTGCAGCAGCCAGGGGATATTTGTGTGCACGAAGACTGCTTTGTGGCCTTTCTGGATGGAAACAAGTGTGAATTTGAAACTAAAAAAGGCAGGAGTTATTGTTGCTCTTCATGCATGAAATCTGTCTGGGTGGATATTGGCAGGTGATGCCTCTTCTGGGGTGGGAGAGGAAGGAGTTGCGTTGTTGGAATGTTTCTGGTCCATTTTTAGCCTGCTCGTGCTCATTCCTGCAGTATGTCTGTGGGTGAGGGATTTGCAAATGATGCTGCGCTGTCTAAGAAGAACCTGGGTGCTGCTTTTGGGGTTGTGCATCACCCCTTCCTGTTGCAAATTGTGAAAATAGCCCTGAAATCTGGTATTTTTGTGGCTAAAATTGCTATTGCAGAACCTTGTGTTACTTGGGGACTTTGAAATCTGGGGGTTTGATATTGGTTCCTTTCAACTTATTGGGAATTTTGCCATTCATTTGTTGAATATTTGGATGCTGGTGTCAAACCTAGCACGCATGGGGATGATGCGGCTCATATTACTTCTGCAGATGCTCTGAGAAATGTTGCTTTTCTTGATGGTGCTCAAGGCCTCCTTTGAGTAGAGCAGTTTCCTCTTGCTGTCCCTGCCTTCGGGGGCAATGTGTGTTCCTTCCTGCGATATCACTGTGGAGCTGGCTGACTTGCAGGTCCATGGTCAGATCAGGGCTTTAGACCTCGTGATGCACATTGCCAGTTGTGTTATGGTGCAACAAACATTCTGGCATGTTTTTATTTCATAGTTTTAACAATGTGTTGTAGAAACAGAGAGCAATCTCAGCTTTCCATCTGTACGTTTCCTTTAGTTTCTGATAAGGGGAGAAGTGCAGAGTTTGCATGGCTCTCCAGGGGCCTGGCTGACCTCTGGAGAGTCAGAAGGTTCATTTTCCCAGGAAAAATGGAGTTTCACTATGAGGCAGAGCCTTGCAGATATGGTGGAAAATAGAGGTTTGATTTGCTTCTAACTGTCTCTAAATACTCAGTGAGTTCATTCCAAACTTTCCATCCAGTTGTTTAAACTCTGAGACCTGTGACAATATGACAGAATAGTGTCAGGAGAAATTATAGACTTGGCAACATTCTATCGAGTTAATAGACCTTCATACAATATAATTGCTAATGAGAAACCTTTATTATTTGAAAAAGGCACCAGGAAGCCATAAAATCTGACTTTTAACCACACCACAGCTAAGCTTAGATATTGATAACAAATTGGAACAAAACTGCTGATACACAGCTGTACTTGTTGGTTTAACATATAGCAAAATTAGGGTATTTTTAGGGTATTCCTCAGGTGGTATAGTGCAGGATAACCCCACTAATTTCCTAATCAAGAGGGAAACCCATCTTGATTTTTCACACCCTTAGATGTTGATAATACTGCAATATTAGAGACTGGTTTTCCTGCTTAAAATATTTTTGGGGTCTACGAAATTCACACAAGAAATGCATGTCTTGATAGTGCTGGAAGCCTGGCTGGCAGACTGAATCCCTTTCAATCTACAGGATTTGTGCCATTTGAACAGCATTACATATTTGAGACAGCTGGGGGAAGCTATTGAAAAAGTGTTGGAGCAAAATCACACAAAATCAACAGTTGAGTCCCTCTGAAATTTGGCCACTCATCTAGAAGTACTCTGCAGTGTTCAAGGGAGCTTGAAACAGAATATTTTTCCATCAAGTGGGTTAAGTACATTTATTGTAACTGAAGGGAGACAAAGAAATGCTGGTTTACATATAATGAGTAAAATGGCACATAGTCAAGGTTAAGGCTGAGGGACAGATGTGGGAGACCTGCTGGTTCTGGAGCAGACCTTACCAGTGCACATCCCAGCCCAGATAGTCACCACACTGCTCTGGAAACCACCGCTACCTTGGACCTATGCCTTGGGATAAAAAGGGAGAAAGAAGTGGTTACTGGTGTGTGTGCTCAGGCAGTGTCAAAGGAAGATGGGATGGTGAGGGAAAGGTATCATTTATCAACGTTTAGGTACTGTCTTGAGAAGATGAGCTTTTCTGGTGTCAGTTTTTCTGCTTGAACAGGCACTTTTGTGAAACAGGGCGTTTCTCTCCTGCCAGGTGCTAATAAGTCTGTCAAAAAATGGGGAGTTCAGTCTGCTGCTGCTGATATCAAGGTGAAATTTCATTATTATATTTTTAAATGGAGGAAGCATGGAGCAAAATCTGTGTGGTACTGACTGTGGATTTAAATGACTTCGTAGTATGAGAGGTCTTAAAAATCTTTTTCCACAATTATATTTGCGTGTTGAGTGAATTGCACTGTAGCGGTTGTAAAGATATTCTTAATGTTTGATTATATGTAATTCCTAGAATAGCTCATAATGTGATGTAGAGGTCAGCTGTGTCTGGTGGCTTCAAAAGGCGAGATCCCTCAACCTGCTCAAACTGGTTGCAGGTCCCACAGGCCAAAGAAAGCATTTTGCTGTGTCCAGGCTGGCTTGTGTCTTCATCTCACCTGTGCATTGATTGGAGAAATGCATAGTGGGGTTGCAACATTGCTACTATTTGTGTTTACTTAATTCTCTTTAATAGACTTCTCTGCAGCTACAGTGAGGATGACTAAGTGATTGGAAAATCAATCTTTCCATTTTATCTACATTTTTCTGAGTTTAAGGTGAAACACTGAACATACAATGGTGTTTGACTTCCACAGACGATGAAGGATCTCAGTTCAAGAAAATAATCAGCATAGACATATTAAGATATTTTTGGAAGGAAAGCTGAGCACCTTCCTTAGCTGTTTGCTCATGCTGCCTATATTACTGATTTTACTATGGAAAATTTACTCATTTTTTTGCAATTGCTTAGGATTGATAGGTAACCTAAAGTCTTAAACTAGAAAGTTTTAAACCCAAACACTACATGCACATTGCATGGAAGACTTCATAGCTACGCACAAATTTGGACTGTAACTATGTTTTTGGAAAGGACCTTCCCTTGCAAAAGACTGTCATAGTTTTGGGTATTTTCAGCTGTGGGATACTTGTGACTCCCAGTTTTTGTGAGTGATATCCATCGGAGTTTACTAGGATTAGCCTGTATTGGTTGGGAGAGAAGTGAAAGCTGGAGGAATGGTTGCTGTTAAATTTTGCAGCCAGGCTTGATGATAAAGACACAATTGCTGCAGGAGACTTAAGAACGGGCCCCCTGAAATTCCTATGTTCCTCTATAGCTAGACTCCCTATGGGACTGACGCAGAGTTTTGTCAGAGCGAGTCCAGGAAAACAGTGTCTATTGTGTCTACTTATATACTTCAGCCATAAAACACGCTCTGGGACAAAGAGAATTTGTTGTGGTATAGTTGTGCTTGGATCGTGATTGGAGTGCTGTAGACCGGTTTAAATGAAAAGCCATAAATTTGAATTTTATCTCATTTTGTGGGTCTAGAGCCGAGCATTATCTAATCAGGTATTGGTTAGCTAAAGTACAAATCGAACAGGGGATCACCGGACAAGGGGAAAGGTCGAGCTTTTTTGCAGTTTGTCACCCAGGTTTTAGTATTTGCCGGCAGCTGAATATCTGGGGTGGGTGGGAGGCTGTTGCTCAGTTGTTGTTTGAAAAGGGAAAATTGACTGCTTCTTAATCAACAAAGAAAACAAGCTTTTAAGGGATGGTAGTAATTTTTTTTTTTAAACAAAAGCAAGGGAACACAAATTTAGTGATTTCTTCATAGTTCATGCCCTGCTATGAAAAACAACTGGGGAGAGTATTTCAAAGAAAGCCTTTGAACAGGTCACCAAAGCACATGCACCTATCTTCGACATATTCTGGAAGATGCTGGTCAAATATTCAAATTCAGGTCTTTTACTGCTATAGAAAACTCAGTCTTGTTCATAGGTACAATTTCTTCATAGCATTTTTTTACCCCAAACTTTTATTTCTTTACGAGGAAGGTAAAACCAGGAGCAATAAACTGTAATAAATTAAACTTGTCAGAGAAGTAAAAAATATTTTAGAGCTTTATAAAGCAGCATATAATCTCTTTATAGAGCAGGGTATATTTTCCTGTCATGACAGTGAGGTTGAAAAACATCCCAGATTTGGTAGTGTGTGCTTGAATTGATGCTGTTACTTTTAAATGGAAATTAGGTCTGTTTGCCTATTTGTTTACCTCTCCGCTAACATTTTTATGTGCATTCTGGGGGGAAGCTGGACAACTTCTTAAATTGTTTTGAGTAAAGGCTTCCCACTGATATATAAGGGACTGGAATAGTTGCAATTTTAAGTTTCAATTCTGCATTCTTTTGCTTTCTTTTGACATTTTTTTAAATTTAAATTTAGGTTTATTTTGAAGTTCTGTGTTCTAGGTGTACCATCTACCTTTATGAAAATTAAATACTGACTTAAATAAAGTAAAGGTGTATGTTTTCAGAGTTGGAATCTAATGTATATGCTCCAAAATCTGGTTTGTAGCACCTAAACAAATTGCTTGGTTTTCTTGGTCTTAGCATTCAAAAACCTCCAATGGGAGTTAGTGGCTGATTCCACTCTGTGTATCGATATTATCCCCCATTTTTGGGTTCTCCTTTGGAAAACCCTGGTCAGAATGCTGAAAGCAGCATCTGTTTCTTTTTATAAAAACAGACTAAAAAATAGAATTTGTTAAATAACTGGACATGGGATTCACACATCTTAAAACTTATGTTAAATCATTCTTGATAACTAACACCGGTGCTGAGGGAAACGAGTCCTTTGTGGAATCACGCTGGGAGAGAGCAGTAGGTTCTTTTGCAACAAGGAAAACGGAAAGGCACAAAGACTTCATCCTTTCTGAATATCTTTCTTTGAGATATGGAGGTTATTCTGGTGTGACAAAACCACCTTGAATTTCTGCTGTTGTCTGACACTTTTCACACTGCACTTAGAGG